TAAAAACAATATTGGCATAGTGTATTGTAGGCAAGGAGGATTACTTCGAACGGGTCGACATAGATTTTGAAGAATAAATTAAGAATTTTAATTATGGAAAAAATCTTACAATTTTTTGCATTTGTTTTTTGTCGACGTTGCTAGCCTTTTTATTTTCAATCATTTGTGTGGAAATATTTGATAAACATCACAAAACAAAAAAGCAGTATTTAACTTTCATAAATACGTGCTTATGTGGAGTTGTCAAAATTCTTATAATTTTCAGAGATAGAGCTATTTTAGACACATCAAATATTTTATATATTTTGAAATTTTGTGTGAGTTTTCCTCTTAATATGTTTTTGTGGAATTAGTACTATTTTAGCACGTTTTAAATATACTTTTTTGATCTCTCGTTTTCAATAAAATTTCAAATAAAGTGTTTATTTCCTTTACTTTACTGCTTTTTAAACACTAGCAATACGTCCAAAATTGAGCCTTATTTAGTGCGATTGTTATTACTGGTGGAAACGGGAACTATCCCGACATATTTAATATGCTTAAAAATGTAATACTTTCCAATAACCAAAAGCTTATATGTATATTTCAATGATATCGGCATAAAATTAAACATTTTTTTATGAATTTATTTAATCACCGTCAATTTAGTATTAACTTTCTATTTAATTGCAATATTAGTTTATTTTTATTGTACATAATCAAAATCATAGTAAAACGGAAATTACCAAATTCAACCAAATGGCAAACAAAACAATAAACACAAAGCACCACTTTTGACCTGTTTTGTATGGATTTTATGCTATATATCTGTAGTTGTGTTTGTTGTACTGTTTTAGTTTGTTATAATTGCGTACAAAAGTGTATTTGGTTACACAAGTATGCATGTACTTTGTATGTATGTACGAGTATTTAGTTTATTTTGCGATATGTACCATGAGAACTTCCGAAACCGAACTGATACTGAGGACATACATTGTGACGCCAACCTCCACAGGGGGACCTGGAACATACACACACATGTTTTTGTTGTAATTGCAGCACATATACATATAAAGTTATAAAATTGTATAGTTGCTTGTTTTTCTTATAGTTGTTATTACAAGCTTTTGTTATTATAGTACGTTACATTAGTGAATTGTGTTTGGGGGGAAAAACATTTAATTTCCTTTTGCATTGTTGGACAAAATTTGCATTCTTCGTTGCTTTTAGTTTTCTGCCGTGGCTAGTGATAGTGAATTGGGGTATGGATGTGTATTTCACGTTCAAGGATGTCGGGACATTTTATATATAAAAACCAAAAATCCATAAAAATTAGATATTTGCATAAGCCATTAATTTATCAAACGCATATTATATTATGGTATAAGCATCATCTCATGTTACTATTTGAAAGCAGCGAAGACAAAGTCTATGTCGAGATGAGTAGAGTAGTACAAATAAATAAAAATTAACCGTTATCAGCATACACAAAATACTGTTAGTGAAAGCGGTAGACGGAAGTGCGTTCAAAGCCCTATAATATAAATATATTCAACTGAATTGACTTGTGTAGAAAGAGATAAATCTATTTCCAACAACTATATGTTCATCTTGAAAGTAGTTGCATAAAATGTTGATAATGCATATTTATTGGCATTTATTAGTTTAAGCTTTATGCCTCAAACGCACACCTTCCCATATACTAGTAGTCAAATGTTACTCATACGCACCGTACGCCGCTTTCACTCGCAATATTCAACCTTAACTATTTATATAGGACACACATGACGTCTGCTGCTCACAGCTGCAGATTTTTTAACAGATGTTCACCTGTCATATGAATGGCAAAGTGTCGAATGAAAACCAAATCAATCTAAATTCTCTTCTTACTTAAAAAAAAATGTATTATTTTTATGGCAAATATTTGGCATTTCATATATTTATACATTTCTTGCATTTTGCATATACCCTTTGTAACTTGTAAATGTGTCGTTTTCAGATAATTATATAAAATGTTTGTATGTAATTATAGAGTTCGAAGAAAGAAAAATATGTTCAAACAAAGTTCGAAAATTAGTAGAAGACAATTTAGATTAATATTAAATTAAATAGCAAAAGGTGTGTACACTTAATTATAGTTTATATATTATATATATATTTATATATATATATATATATCATGTATATGTCAAGAGGTACGTAGTGTAAGTTTATTAAAATTTTTCGTGCCAATTTAATTAATGCTTTTAATTTTAGTGAATTCATGTAGCAAAAATTTATATAGTATATTTCAAAGTTTTTAGGTCGTGATTCAACTTCGTGTAATACAATAATGACTGCTTGAAAATAGGTAGTTATTTGATGTGCGCTCTCAAATGATTAATGACGTGATGATGATTCTTTCTGATATACAATAAATTTCAGATTATATTTCGACACTCGTGCTCTATAAATTATATTAATATAACTTTACCGAACTGTGATCCATAGCGGTTAACGATTTCTATATGGAATACCTGAATTTGTAGAAATTCTTTAGGAAATATTATAAATTATAATAAGAACAATTATAATCTGATATGTTTAAACAATTTCCAGCAAATCTAATAATAAATGTCTTTAATCGCCTTTCCCATTTTATTGAAAAATAGTAAAGATAATAAATTGGATTTTATAACCTAGGTCACTTTCTGAAATCAGTCGATAACTCTGCAACAGTTCACAATGAATTTTCAATAAAAACCTATCTAACAGAAAAGTACCATTTCATATGAATTTAATTAATTTTTCAAAGCGCATATCCTTACTTAAATAACGCAGCTATTTTTCGTAGATACGAAAACTAGGTTAAACCTTATTTGTATGGCAAAAAACACTATTTTTTATTTAATTCAGATTTCTTAGATTCATTAAAAAAATTTTAAATAAATTTCGCAATGCAAAGTTAATCCTCTTTAAAAGTTTATTTGTACAAAATTATGGTTTTTAATAAAAATTTAATGCAGCTTAGTGTATTATTTTATTGAATAATAATTATTTTTTTTACTGAAAGGTAATCCAGAAAATACAAAATTTTAACATGAACTTTGATATAGAAAATTCAAGGTCTGGAGAGCTCAGGCTATACATTCTCAATAACTTGAAAGTAAGGAATTAAAAAAAGCAGGAGATGTTGAGTAAAAAAAGCCAAAAATATGATCATAGTCGCCATTTTTTATATTAATAATAAACTTTAGTAAGAAACTATGAAATATAAACACTGCAAGTCTTTATATTAACAAGAGATTTGTTAAAATTATTATCAAGGTATAGGGATCAATTGTTTTTGCGTAAATTTAAAATGAGGAGCAAAAACGCAGTTGACTTTTAATGAGGCCTGATATAATCGTACTCAGTAAATGCTGAAGTGCCGATACATGTTAAACACATAATCAGGGTTTGAATAAATCATTTTCTTAGTACTGAATGTGGTTTACTATGATCAAACAGTTGGATAATGGAGTTATGTGTAGAATACGTGAGGAAAGTTCTCTGAGCGCCGTTCACTTGAAAGTGATCAGAAACGGTTCTTTTACATATGGCTCAAGCAGCTCACGACGTCGCAACTATGGCACAAAATAACGTGTATAAGTGGAACAATGAGTTGAAAGCAGGCCTTGCTGACGGGGGTCCCCACGTCGAAACAGAGAAAGATTTAGTGCTCCATGGACACTTAGAGAGAACCCTTATATGTGTTAGCATATCATTTCGCTCAACTCAAACCATTTTGAAAAATGCGTTTTTTACTCAAACTGTTTTGTATGTCAAACGCGTCAAGCTTCGACGGGTTCTATAATCACGCTAATGCACCTTGTGACTCCGCAATCACAGTATTCGCTGGATTTCCTTGAGCGTGACTTCTAGCTATTAAACAAAGCTCCGGGATGCCGCTTTAATACATTTGAGGTGATAAAAACCGAATCAACAAGGTATTGAATGCTACAGCAAAATACTATCTCAACTGTTACTGGGGCTGGGAAAAGCGTTGGCAAAAGTGCATTTAATCGGACAAGAATTACTTTAAAGCGTATGAAATTGATTTGGAAATATTAATAAAGAATGAATTTGCTAAAATTTTTTAAGTCTTTCCAGTGTATAAAATAGTTGTAAATCAGTTTAAACACAAGATTTGCACGAATGCAATTCCAAATTATTTTCTCAAAGAATGTCATTCAAAAATTTTAGAGGCCTCCCCAAAGTGTGGTATTTAGTTTGAAGTAGTGTATGCATTAGCCGATCATGGCACTGTCGACAGCTATCAAAGTTAAAGTAAGAGGTTATAAAAAGATCTGAAGTTACTTATCATAAAATATTTACACATATAATCCTGCAATATTTATTACTAAACACTTTTCTCTTGTCACACCTAAAGGTTAACCGAGTTTTCTTTGCCGTGGACATATTATAAATGCTTGGGTTTTCAAAACATCTTATTGCAATAACAAATAAATAGTACTAGGATCACAATATAGAAAGACCGCTAAGAATTAGTATGAAAATGAAAATGCAGCAATAATAGGAAACATTTTAAGAATAGAGCAAACGCTTGCACAACAAAACTAGATAGACTCGGCAAAGAAGAACGATAGTTAAACAAAATCAATAAACAAAAAACAAGATATGAAAAAAGGAATATGTTTATATGCAAAGGTACAGCGCACAAATGTATGTTTTTATTATAGGCAAACTAACAAAATAGATAAAACTCGCACAACAAACGAAGAACTAAAAATATGTAAAAAATATATATTAAATGTTGAAAATTTGTAACAACTATTAGCAATATTATTCAATGTAACAAATTAAGAGAAAATATGTAAAAGTAAAGTGAAAAAAATGCAGACGCAAATAGTTAGAAGACAGTACGTTCAAAACTAAATGCTAACATTACTATGAAACTAAAGTCAACTAATTGTAAAAACAAGAAAAGAGACAACTTTTTGTGTTCATAGTAAAAGGTACATTTTGGGCGTATTGTGTACCATTTTAACTTCAGACAGCGAGCTGATCGATAGCACATACATGGTGACTCCGACTTCAACAGGAGGTCCTGAAACAGCAATATGTTGCATCAATTTAAAGAAGGCAAATTAAATTATAAAAATTAAAACGCACTGAGCTACGAAAGGTGAAAAAAAGAGTTGAAGAAGTAAATAAAATAACATTTTATTACACTATTACGAATTTTTACAAAACCAAATCCGCATTACAGTTATTTTTTTAATTAGATATTAAAATTGTTTATTAAAAAAATAGTATTTTCCAAAAAATTTTAGCCTTATATTTATGAGAGCTTTTAGTGTGCAATCATGTAATCATAATTAATTGGGTATCTCGTTTTTTTTTTAATTCTTGTGTCTGTGTAATGGTGAGTGTGTGTGTATTAAAATTTATTTGCACATGTATATAAGTTAAAGATTTTGAAAATTTTATTATATGAAAATGCATGAAAAGAGTAAATGAGTAGTAAAATAAAATCATTTTGAAAAGGAATTTTACTTTTAAGAGCAGAAAAGTTACGCATTCCTTAAGAATATCATTAATTTTACTGCTATAGGATATGATGTATTATAGGCAGAGATTATGTATTGTATGAGCACTTAGAAAGTGAGTGTATTTAAGGTATTTAAACCACTGTTTGTTTGTGTGCGTTTAGATATAGTATGATGGTAAAACCAAAGGATATGTTAACTCTTATTTATATTTCGTAGTCTACTGAAAGGTTGCAAATACATTCGTGCATCACCGCACAAGATCTAAAGCTGCAGTTCAGCATTTGGCTAACCTTAACTGTATTTTAAAGTCGGCATAAGATGTTAACGACCCACTTTAGCATATATGTTGTTGTTAAAAACTTTAATATTTTTTTAAGCTTTTTTTTATAAAATTTGAAATCGTGGAACTCACCTCCATAGTTAGGTCTTACTCTTTTGTCGTAACTAATACTAAATGAATCGAGAATAGCGGATATGTTAACATCACCCAACATGCTGCCGCCACCAGTCCTGTAAGAAGAAACAAATTTTATTAACAGCTATATAGTTTCAGCTTCAAAAACCTAAAAAAATAGTTTTACTATTTTTGATTACAGAACGAATTATTTTTTTATTTTTTTTATTTTATTTTATTAAAGCTTACATAATAAACCAATTATTATATAAACTAAAGTACGCAGCTCTAGCATCATAGGCTTTCGGCTGACAGAACGAATTAAACTGATCAAACTTGACGAGAAAAGGAAACAAATCTTCACATATTTTAATACGACTCTTTATTAACGGCTTAGGTCCCCAGCCAATATAAGTATGGCAACGTTTATTAAATTATCCTTACAGTTGCTATAGGGTGATCCATTTCGAGGTTTTAAAGAAAGAACAGAAACTTCAAATTTAATGGGAAATGTTTATTATCTCTTTCAAATGTTCATCCGTTGGGTTCAATTTTCGATAACTCGTACGAGCACTTCAACTGATTACTGCCGAGTGACATCTGTGATCTTTAGCTACAAGGCCTGAATACAAGCCGTATAGACTTTAGGCTTTACATATCCCAGAAAAAACCTAACGATGTGATATCAGACTATCTTGGTGATCAATCGACCAGCCCAAAACGTGAAATTATTTGCTAACAGAAATGTTCTGCCCATTTTGATGTGATGTATGGAAAGTGGAAGATATTATCCGATAATGAATGCCAGGTCTAAAGATGGATGATGGTGTTGCGAATAGTATGCTTAGTAGGTTGATTACGTTGACCATAAGTTAAACGAAGCGCGCGAAACGAATCCTTTACAGAACGTGAATTTTCGTAACACAGTTGAAAGGTTTGTAACGTTGTTAAGGATTAAGTTTTTGCATGATGAAGTACCAATCAATACTGAACAAAGAGAACAAGACATTTTGGCAGGACTCAAAAACAGGCTATTCAAAAAGTACCTATACACGGATCATCCGTTATAAGCATCGCAAGGATACGAAACTTGATGCTTAAAGTTTCGGTATTTTTTGGAGTTCAATTCGCTAGATTATTAACAGTTTCGACGTCATATTTTAAGCTCAAAACTTTTTAATTTTTTTTTTTTTTGTTTTTGCGTCCTATGTTATAGGTAAGTTTTGTAAAAGACGATTTAAATTTTTAATTTTTCCGGCGTTATTGTCATTAACAGACACTTCACTATTTTCACTAAATGGGTTATGTTACCCAAATACTTGTGTTCATTAATAATCTATAAGATTTCCCAATAGACCTCTGTAGTCGTGATCTAATTGAAAAGAAAAAATATCAAATAAAGTCAAGCTAATTTTAAAGTCACCCAAAAGTTGCCATTAAGTGTTATATAGTCAGGAGATACCAACAATTACATAAGCAAAATAATTAGGGATTAGGATTAAGAGGTGCACTTCGAAAGATCACGTAAAAATGAAAATAACTTAGCTAAGATTAAAGTTAGCGCAGATATACTGGCTCCTTAAGACAACATATCGCCTCAATCCGTTACTTATTTATAAGGTAATACTTAAATCGATGTCGACATTGAACAAGTAAGGCAGCGCAAAGTTCGAATTCAATTGAACATTTTATACTCTTGCAACTTACAAGAATCTAAGCCAGGAAATATTTTAAGGTGTATAACCAATCAAATAAAGTAAATTCAAGCGGATGTTCGCAAAACCTAATATTAGTTATGTAGAGATGTTGGGAGTAATGTTCGCTCAAATGTATCTAGTTTAGACAAATAGAGACACTATTATCAGTAAAACATGCTCTCCTATTTTAATTGCGATAACCCACATATTAGCCGATATCTTCTTCTTCCTCTTTACTGACGTAGACACCGCTTACGCGATTATAGCCCAGTTAACAACAGCGCGCTATTCGTTTCTTATTTTCGCTACGTGGCGCTAATTGCATATTCCAAGTGAAGCCAGGTCCTTCTCCACTTGGTTCTTCCAACGGAGTGGAGGTCTCCTCTTCCTTTGCTTCCCCCCGCGGGTACAGCATCGAATACTTTCAGAGCTGGAGTGTTTTCGTCCATTCGGACAACATGACCTAGCTAGCGTAGAAGCTATCCCTCTCGTATATCTTAGCTCATCCTTCCATCGACTGCGCTATTCGAAGTGGCCAACGCGCAAAGGACCATAAATCTTTCGTAGAACTTTTCTCTCGAAAACTCGAAACGTTGACTAATCAGTTGTTGTCAGCGTCCAAGCCTCTGCACATAAAAAGACGGGAATTATGAGTGACTTATAGAGTTTGCTTTTTGTTCGTCGAGAGAGGACTTTGCTTCTCAATTGCCTACTCAGTCCGAAGTAGCACCTGTTGGCAAAAGTTATCCTTCTTGGATTTCCAAGCTGACAATTTTGGTGGTATTTGTACTGGTTTCAAGATAGACAAAGTTGTGTACGAATTCACAGTTATGACTGTCAACATTGACATGAGAGCCAAGTTTCTTTGATGACAAGAGATACTACGTCTGCTTCGTTCACTGCCAGACCCATTTGCTTTTCTTCCTTGTCCAATGATATAAATATTGTTGGCATACGCCAGCAGCTGTACACTCTTGTAAAAGATAATACCTGCTCGATTAAGTTCTACAGCTCGAATTACTTTCTCCGGAAGCAGGTTGAAGAAGTCGCACGATAGGGAGTCGCCTTGTCTGAAACCTTCTTTCACGGTTCTGTTCCAAGATTTGGTCCATGGTGAATATCTGGTCAGTTGTTGTTTTGGCAGGTCTGAAGCCACATTGATAAGGTCCAATCAGTTTGTTGACGGTGGACCTTAATGTGTCACACAATACGCTCGATAGAACCTTATGCGCGGTGTTGAGGAGGCTTATCGCACGGTAGTTGGCGCAGATTGTGGGGTATCCTTTTTTGTGGATTGGGCATAGCACACTTAAATTTCAATCGTTGGGCATGCTTTCGTCCGACCATATTTCACAAAGAAGCTGATGCATGCTCCTTATCAGTTCTTCGCCGCCGTGTTTGAATAGCTCGAGCGGCAATCCATCGGCTCACGCCGCTTTATTGCTCTTCAGACGGGTAATTGCTATTCGAAATTCTTCATGGTCGGGCAATGAAACGTCTGTTTCATCAGACAGAAGTTCGAAAATCTTTATATAAAGGGGTCAGTAAGATAATCTTTTTTAATTTTTTTCATTTTCTGTTCCTATATACCCTTAGAATTATTGTAGAAACCTACTTTACTGATGGAAGGTTTCGAAAAAGGTCCAAAAATAATAATTAGGGGTATGTAAATTTTTCAACGTTTATGTCCATTGTTGTATGCTTTTTCAGTACCTCAAACGTTAAACGAGTTTTTCTTAAAACAAACTTTTTTAATCAGGCTTACATGATGCCGGTCGAACTACTCAAATCGGTTGAGTTAATTTTTATTAATTAATTTTAATATTAACTTTTTTTTAATGTTCATGAAAGGTCTGGCTCTCGTCCCTACTAGATTAAAATTTTTTTATAATTTATTGACAATGTTATGACAAAATTTATGTTAAAAAAATTGTTAAAAGTTAAAAAAAACGTTAATTACTTTTTTATTTATAAAATTTTTTCATGATTCTAGTAAGAACAATAACCATTGACGTACTTTTTAAGAATAAATTGGGTTTTAGATGATCCAGTGAAAAAACGCATTTCATTCACGCAGCCATTTCGCCGAAAAACTCATCGAAAAATTCCGAAAAAATTTGTTTATACTCTCCACGATATACCTCAGATATGTGAAAACATTTCTATGAAAAAAAAATGTCAAAAAAAAATTAACTAGCAATTGGCAAACAAACACTAATTGATATATGGAAATTAGGCTTCCCACGAACGCAAAAGAAGTGTGCAGTTTGAATTACATTTCTCTAATGTGTACTGAACACTAAACTTAGAAACCACAAAGTGGCATATTTAAAAGTTCTTTACCACAAAAGTGCTTACGCAAAAGCATCTAACTCATTAGCGCTTATCAGTTCAAACATTCATTTCATTTATTGCATTTTTTCCAATTAAAAAGTTTTGCTTTCAAGCCTTTCATCGCCATTGCTCAAATATGCACACGCTTATGTGTTGGTATCTTCAAACACAAGTAAGAGAATGTGGATAGACAAAACTTCAATAGCAAATAAAAAGTTCATTAGCGCATTACTCATACGCAGTGTGGTACGCAAAAAGACTTTGTAGCACATACTTGAAAGCACAAAAGTTTTACACTTTAAACGCCAACAAATTGTTACAAGGCAACAACAAAAACAAAGCAACACACAGCCTTTAACGAAGTACAAAAAATTCACAATTGGAACAAAGTGGCAAGAATGTCGAAAACCAAAAAAGTGACAACAACAACAAAGATCCGAAATCCGGCTACCACGATAAAAGACACATAAGAAGCTGCGCACTGGAATTGTGCAAAACTGAAAGTAAAATGCAAACGCAGATAAAAACTTTTAAATGAAATTTTGTTTGAAAAACAATAGAAGAATATTTCACAAGGACTTTCCAAACAAACGCACACAGCTATGACGTCTAAATAGCAAACATATGTATGTATGTATGTACGTACCACTAAATGCTGGTATGCGCATACAATGTTGTAGACCTGTCCAGGCATAATGGGTATGACCGAAGAACAGTGTCACAATTTAGAATCTGAAATTTGAGAGCGGCAGAGAGATTGCGGTGGAGAGGCTTGCAATACTTAGTGGCAACAAAAAAGCCTTGATTAAATTGAGGCCAAGCCATGCGGCCAGCATTACGCGCGCACTGTGTTCGTGCACGAGGTTAAATGCCAATGCAAAGGACAAAACAGACGAGAAAGCAAAACCAAAAATAAATGCAAAAGTAACCAAAAATAGAGCGAATAAAAGTGCCGAAAATTTTTGCAGCAAAACGAAACCAACATAGTTGGCAAGGCGTAAACAAATGCCAAAGAGCGAGCCTAAGAAAGAATCTAAATTAACAGCTGCAACTGAGCAATATTTCTCGGTGTAGCGCCAGCAAGG